CCACCCACCCATCCATCCACCCATCCATCCACCCATCCATCCATCCATCCACCCACCCATCCATCCATCCATCCATCCACCCATCCATCCACCCATCCATCCACCCATCCACCCATCCATCCACCCATCTATCCATCCACCCACCCACCCATCCATCTAACCATCCATCCACCCATCTATCCATCCATCCATCTAACCATCCATCCACCCATCCACCTATCCATCCACCCATCCATCCACCCACCCACCCACCCATCATCCCCCATCCTTCTGTTCATCCACTCACCCATTCACCCAGCACCCATCCAGTACTGATCCATCCAGTACCCACCATCCATCACCCTCCCATTCATTCCTCCGTCTACACATTCATCCACCCACTCACTCCTGGGGGTTGAGCAGAAATTGCACAGTGGCCCCTGAGACGCAGCGCTGGGGTCCCCCTGGGTGCCCAACAGGACAGAGCAGTAAGGGCAGGGGGCTGCAGACAGCTCCCGGGCCCAGTCCAGCGCGGTGGGGCGCACAGGCGGGGGCCCTGTACCAGACTAGGGACGGTCCTGAGGAGCTGGCGCCCTCCTTCTGCAGGGTCCCCGCCCTGCTCGGGACGCAGGTGCGGGACTGAGCAGAAGGCCATGGGTCCCTGAGACCTTGAGCGCAGTCCGGGTCCCTGGGGAAGTCTGGGGTGCCACCCGGGAAACGCCCATGCGGCTGGCCTTGAGGGCGGACGGCTCTGGCCGCTCTCACCCCTCTCGTCCGTGATGGCCCAGGCCCCGCCACAGCCTGCAGGCCGCCCCTTCGTCCCTGGGGATCCCGCCACGTGCCGCCAGCCAGCTGCCCTGCAGAGGGGTCAGGCCCACCGTCCCCGGAGGCCCGGGGCTCAGGCGCTAGGCGGCGCTGCCCGAGCACCTTGCACACATTCAGCACATCGAGCCAGAGGGAGGAGGCCGAACCCTGCAGGCCCCGCTACGGAGAGGGAAACCGAGGCCCAGAGAGGCAGGAATGCCGCAGAAAGGCACACAGCAGCCATAGCTGCGCAGGGGTGAGGGTCCAGACCCGGCATCACCACGGCCCAGCTCGCGCGACCCTGGAGACAGAGGGGGAGCCCCGCTCTGCCGCGCAGGAGCTGCGGCGAGCCACACGCTCCGCGGTCTGCTCCTCTCTGCCCACGCCTTCTTCCCATGAGCTCTGGGAGGTGAGGAACGCTTGCCCCATTTCACAGAAGGGAAAACAAAGACTAGGAAGGGGGTGACCAAGCCTGAGCCAGAAACACGGCCACCATCCATCCACTCAGCCTCCCGCCCACCCATCCATCTACACACCCACCCACCCATGTACTCAGCAAACCTGCCAGCCCACCCATCTGCCCATCCATCCAACACACCCATCCACCTACCCATTTATCTGCCACATTCGCCCACCCCTCTGTCCACGCACATGCATCCGCCCACCCCTTCCATCCACCCATTCATCGAACCATCTACCAATCCACACGCCCGTCTCTCTCTCCTTCCATTCATCCACCCACCCAACTGGCTATTCATCCGTACATCCATCCACCCACCCGTCCGTCCATCCACCCACCCATCTCTCTCTGCCACTCGCCCATCAGTCCATCCATCCTTCTCTCCATCCACCCATCGACCCACCCCATCTCTTATGGCTCGTGTCTAGATGTCCCCGAAAGCTCCTGCAGTCATAGGTGGGCTTTGCAGAGGTGGCTGGATCTAGAGTGTGTGACACACAGACTGATCCTTGGGCCGGTGCTAGGATGAAGGGAGTGCTAGCTGCCCTAAGGGCGGGTAGCGTAGATAAGATGCAAGGGACAGAAAGAGCCCTTGCTGCCTTGCCCGCCGTAAACTGTTTCTCCTCTGCCATGCCCCTCTGCCATGTGCCACCCTGCCTTGGAACCAACCAAGTACGGACTGAAACCTCTACAAACTGAGCTAAATAAACCTTTCCTCCTTTAACTTTGGGTGTCAGGTATTTTGTCTCAGTAATGAGAACAGTAACTGACACCCTCCACCCAGCCATCCTCCCATCCTCCCATCCTCCCATCCTCCCATCCACCCACCCATCCTCCCGTCCATCCCGGCTCTGTGACGTCACTCTGGCTGGAATCCTGGACCACCAAGAGGACAGAGAAGTCCCCCAAGGTCACTGTACGACTTCCCGAGAGGGTTCAGCATCCCCTCTGGCCTCCCCTAGAGCCCTGAGGCACTCTGGGAGTCCCAGCCTCCAGCCGGGCCCCAGCCTGCCGCACCGCAGCCAGCGCAGTGCGGGGCAGCGCGGGACTCACCACTCTGCCGGGACAGCAGGAGGAGGACGAGGAGGCACGGCCCGGCCACCCGCCGCCGCATCAGGTCCACGCGCAGCCGCGTCCCCGGCCGTCCTGTCCCCTCCCCGGAACACGTTGAAGCTGAGCAAGAAAAGAAACCAAGAAGAAAAAAAGTGTCACATCCCCTCGCTCCGGGGAGTCAAAGCGAAAGAGGAGCCAGGAAGCCAGCTGCCCGCAAAGCCGCCGCGGGGCGACCCCAGGGGCCGGGCTCCGGGCAGGGGCCGCTGCGGCCTGGGCGAGCGCAGGCCTGAGGTCACCTTGCTGCCCGGAGGGGCCGCTCCCTCCCGCTTTCGCCTTCAGCCCCACGGCTTCTGACACGCTGGCCCCAGGCTTCAGAAGGTTCCAGGAGAGCCAGCGACACACGAGGCAGCGCGGGCCAGTGTCAGCCCGGTGCTGAATGACAGCGCCAGGCGCCCGGTGCGCACACGAGGGAGAAGACACATCCAGCCCACAGCGGGGGTGCGAACCTGGCAGTCACCCCAGCACTTGGGAGGCTGAGGCAGGAGGATGGCAAGTTTGAGTGTTTGTTTGTTTGTTCGGTCTTTGTTCTTTCTTTTTAAATTTTTTTTTGTTTTTTTTTAGATGAGTTTTTTTTTAGTTTTTGTTTTTGGTGCTGAGGACCAGACCCAGGGCTTGCAGCTTGCTGGACAAGCGTGCTACCGCTGAGCGAAATCCCCAACCCCAAGGATGGCAAATTTGAACCCAGCATGGGCAATTTAGCAAGTAAGCGAGACCATGTCTCAAAATAAAAAGTTAAAAAATGGGGCTGGAGGGGTAGCTCAGTGCCCTGGGTTCCATCCCCAGTACATCAAAATTAATGAATAAAGTTTTGAAAAATGGTGAACATTCGAATGTGTGTTTCTCACAGAAGGAAAATGTTCAGAGTCCCAGGGCACTGAGGAGGGGTGAAGCTCCTTCCTGGGGAAGGGGATCAGGGGAAACAGGCCCAGGCAGGCGGGCGCAGGCTTGGGGGGCCCTTCCTCTGCAGAGCCTGGATGCAGGGGCAGCTGCACTGGCCAGGGCCAGGCGCCCCACGGCCCATGAGGTCAGCGCCTGCAGGACAAAGGGACAGTGTCCTGCTCCTGGCACAGCGGGTGCGGGGACCCCATGACCCCACACAGAGCAGCCTCCCGGGGGCTGGGAGAGATGGTGGGGACAATGGGAGGCGGGGAGGCCGGGAGGGAGAGAAGCAGGTAGACAGAAGCAGCCGAGCGCAGTGGTGCGTGCCTGTCATCCCATTTACCAGGAGGCTGAGGCATGAGGGTGGCGAGTTTGAGGCCGGCCTGGGCAACTTGGGGAGACGCTGTTTCAAAGTAACAAGATAGCTGGAAGAGAGAGTTGGGGCTCGTGCCAAACCCAGGCCCCTCTTTGTCCTCCTGAGGCCCTGCCCCGTTCCCAAGACACCTTCCCCGGGCCATTTCACAGATGGGGAAACTGAGTCCAGAGGTGCTGGCCAGGCCACCTGAGGCTCCAGCCGGAGGAGAAGAGATGCGTTCCAGAGCCCCAGGGGGGCTGAGCTTGGACCCTTCGGGATGCCGCCCAGAGCCCAGTGCGCCCTCCACACCCAGCCAGGATGACAGTCACTGCTGTGGGCGCCCCTCCCCGTGCCTTGTCCTTCCGTACTCCGAAGTCAGAGCAGCCCCGGATAAGGTGGAGCCAGGCCTGGTCACGGATGCCACAACCCTAGAGATCAGAGGGGCGGGGGCGGGCAGGCTGGAGGGCTCCCCGAGGACTTCCTGGAGGAGCACCCCCAGCTTACAGTTGCCTAGAGGGCATCTTTGGGGCAAACGGAGCTGGGCAGGTGAGCAAGTGCCCAAGCTACAGGCAGCAGGGCCTGCCTTGCCCCGGGGCGCTAGGGAGCCATGGCAGGTGTGCTCGGAATTCCCAGCTTGAGGGTCGCGGCCCACTCCCCTGCTACCCCCTAAGGGGCCCCTTCTTGGCCCTCTCGACTTAGTGGAAATAAACTCCCAGATATGCCCCACTTTCAGATGCCTCTGCAGGCTGGGGGGAGGGGCAAGCAGGAAGAAGCAAGTCACAGAGGACCGGAAACTCTGACAGGAGGAACTTCAGAACGTCCCCACCCGCCTGGCTTCTGCCTTCTCGGCGAGAGTGACCTAAAACTAAGTCTAAGGAAGGCTGAATTTCCCTCTATATGGCCAAAGGGCTATCTACAGAAGGTTTTGCAGGATAGATAGGAGTTGAAGACAAGATCACTTCCTTCCCTTCCTAAACATGCTCACAGGCATTCATCAGTAAGATTTTTCTTATTCCATCAGGACTTTCTAATGGCTGGGTCATTTGAGGGTTTTTAAACAATGCACAGAAAATTATCAGACAGTTTTTTGGGGTTTTTTTTTGTGTGTGTGTTTTTGTGTTGTTTTTTTTTTTTTTAGTACCTGGGAATCAACTCGGGATGTTGCACCTACCAGGTGGGCGCTTGTGCCGCTGAGCCACATCCCCGGCCCTTACAGGAAATTATCAAGAAAAGATTCCTTCATGGACCACACTTCCCCTCACAGAGACATGAGGAGAGTGTGGATGGCGAGCTCCCAGCCGGCAACACGACGTGGAGGTGCTGAGCCTTTAAGAGGCCGGGCCTGGTGGAAGTGAGGTCACTGGGGGCGTGGCCTCGGGGACCTGGGACCCCAGCTCTGTCCTCTTCCGACCCTGTGTCCGGAGCTCCCCACCTGGATGGACCAGAGTAGCCGGCCAGGCAGCCTTGGGCTGAAACTCCGGAAACCCTGGGCCCAAATAAGTCTTTTCCGGTTTTTAAGTGGATTATCTCTGGTATTTTGTCACAGGGAGGGAACGTTAACAGATGGGTGTGTAATTCACAGGGAAGCGTGTATTCCTTCATTCGGTCAGTGCCCTTGAAACCCAGAGAGAATCCAAGCTACAATTTGGAGGACATAGGTCTTCACCATGGAAAATTTTTAGCCAGTCAGTCAATCAGCAAACACTCCCTGCTGCCCACAGCGGCACTGGGGAGGGCGTGCTGGGCAGGCTTCCTCCAGGTGGAGCAGGGACGTTTGAGACCTCGCTGGTGGCGGTCCCTCCAGCAGTTCCCACCTGCCAGGCCCACCACCTGGGGTTCAGGGAATCCCCTTCTCCTCAAGATGCCAGGCAAGGGGCTGAGGATTTAGCTCAGCAGCACAGTGCCTGCCTGGCAAGTGCAAGGTCGTGAGTTCGATTCCCGGTACCGAAAAACAAAACAAAACAAAACAAAAAAAAAGATGCCGGCAAAAATCCCAACGAAGGCTCTGATTGGCTGAGAGCCTGGATCACATGTCTACCTTAAGCCAATCACAAGCGTCTGGCATAGTAAAAGACGCTGGGCCCCCTGTCCATTCTAAGCAAGATTAGCGGAGAGCTTGAGCACAGAACCTGCGTGAGTGGAAACATTGGTCATGGCTAGCCAGGAGCTCTCATCTCTTGAAGGAATCAAGCTACAACTGAGGTTCACTTATAGCAGGGTTGCTATGTAAAATGTAGGACAGCCAGTTGGGCTAGAATTTCAACACATCATGTTTTAGCGCAACTGCGCCCCAAGTATGGCGGGAGACATGCTTATACTGAGAAATTATTCATTGTTTGTTGAAATGTGGGTTTAACTGGGCGGCTGCTTTAGAAAACAATCTGGCAGCTTGTCACAAATTTAAAACGTAGAGGTAACATATGGCCCAGGAAATGCACTCCCAGGTACGTCCCCAAGAGAACTGAAACCTCATTCCACACAAAATCTTGTACTCCTCACAAGAGTCAGTCCCAGCAACTCTTCAGAGGAGCCGAGTGAAGGAAAACTCAAATGGCCAGCAACACAACAGGGGGCGGTCCACACAGTGGAATATTACTTGGCTGTGAACAGGAACGAAGCTCTGATATTTGCTACTATGCTGATAAATCTTAAAAACATGACCTGGAGTGAAAGAAGCTAGGCACAAAAGGCCACACGGCCACATAAAGTGTCCCAGAGGCTGAGGGTGAGACAGGGGCAGTGACAGCTTGTGGGAACAGCGTTTTTGGGGGAGATAATAAAAGTGTCCGGGAGTCACACACTGGCGACGGTTACCCAGGTCTGCAGCTATGCTAAACGTCACTGGGCTGTACATTTGTATACAGTGAATTTCATAGGATGTGAGTTGTGTTTGTTTATTTTTTCTTTACCTTTTTTCGAATGAGGTCTCACTTTGTATCCCAGGCTGGCCTCAAACTCGTGATGATTCTCCTGCCTCAGTGTCCCAAATGCCGGGATGACAGGCGTCTGCCACCATACCTGGGACAGTATTTTTTTTTCCCCTTTAGCAGCACTGGACATGGAGTCCAGGGCCTCCTGCGTGCCGGGCAAGCGCTCCCCCCGAGCCACACCCCGACCAAATTATGTCAATTTAAATGATTGTATGGGAAAGCTAAGTATTTGTGGGGCACCTTGCATTTTGATTCGTTCAATCTGCCCACAATAAATCGGTGGAATCTCATTCTCTTAAAACAGTTGGGGTTGGGCGTGGTGGCGCACACCTGTCATTCCAGCACTCAGGAGGCTGAGGCAGGAGGACAGTCGTGAGTTCGAGGCCACCCTGGGCTACATAGTGAGTTGAAAGCCAGCCTGAACTAGAGTGAGACCCTGTCTCAAAATCCCAAAAAGAATGCAATGTGTTGCCTGTCATGAATAACTTCATTATTTTATCTTCCATACTCTCTACTGGGAATACACCCGTGATCTCATAGAGCTACATTCTCGAACCCTTTTTGAAAATGTTTTATTTTGAGACAGAGTCTCATTAAGTCACTAAATTGCCCAGGCTGGGCTCCAATTTGAGATCCTCCTGCCTCATCCTCCCAGAGTGCTGGGATTACTGGTATTCACCACCTTTCCCGGAAGTATAAGAGCGAAATAAGACAGATAACAGGAAGTAGGGAGAGGCGTCTTTCTCAGAGGGGAGGCGACCAGCACCCGGAGGAAGAGGGAACGGGGAGAGGAATGACGACGTGTTCTACGCTTGCACCGGCTCGCAAAAGGAGCACATGCGTTAAGCAGTCTGGACAGGGACTGGCGGGAGAATGGCCTAAAACAATATTATTCCCCGTGATGGCTGAGTTTGGGGGCCCCTTAAATTTTGCCTCTGGGCGGGTGCTGTGCAATCAGGCTGTATGCTCCGGGCACCTTGATGAACCCTTGTGAGCCTCAGTTTCCTAAGCTGCAGAGAGGGGATAAGTAACGCGCCGGTACTTCCAGGAAGATTCACTGCAAAAATGTTTACTTCCACTGGGCGTGGTGGCACACGCCTGTGATGGCAGCACGAGGGAGGCTGAGGCTGAGGCAGGAGGATCGCTGTAAGTTGAAGGCCAGCCTGGGCTGCACAGTGAGTTCAAGGCCAGCCTCGACTATACAGCGAGACATTGTCTCATAAAAACAACAACAGAACATGTTTACTTCTGTAATCTGCGGGTGGACCGGGCTGGAGGGGCGGGGCCAGCTCGCCCTCACTGGGGGGGCGTGGCCTTCCTGCTGGGCCGGCGGGGAGGGGCG